GTGTCGCTCGCTTAAAAGTTTGCAAATATTTCTAGTTGCTTGTTTGCCTAACGCGGCGTATGCGTAGTTTCACTTAAAACGCTGCGTGGGCGGCTGCATTGCGCTGACACAGTTTGACAGGCACTGCTCTTAAGCACACACACACACACACACGCACACGTCTACGGCACATGTGGCTGAGCACATCCCCACACTCGTAGCAAAATAAACGCGGTGCATTCTGTGCCAATTGGTGGCCAACAGAATGCACACACACTTTGCGCATAAATCATAGCCAACTATTTGGTTTATTTATTAGCTTTAATGCAAACAAACTGACCATGGAGGACGGACGCTTAGCTCCGACCAGAGGCGATTAACATTTAAATAGGCCGCAATCAGTTACTTTATGGGTCAAGCATAAGCATACGCGTTTGTATTATTTGTATTTGCACGCTTATCGATAAACATATTGCATTTATCGATTAAGTAACTGTGGATGATCATTGCATGGAACAGCTTGATATTTTTATTTATCTTCACTCAATATTCTTCCCACTTGCTCCTTTTCATTAAGCGTTAATGTTCGATAAAGACCTAAATTGATCGATAGCACAATTTGCTTATCGATTAGAGTAGGCTAATGCTGTTGTGTCTTCCGCAATCGTGCTCTTTATTGGACCATATTTAGTCACAAGAAAACGATTACTCATATGGTTATCGATAACATAGTTCAATATGCTTTCAACTTATCGATTAGTTTTTGAAACTTTATAATAAAATAAAGATAGCGCTGATAGCTGAACGAAATGTATTTAAAAATGACAATTCTATACTATCGATAACAGTCAAATTGATCGATAACATCATTAGTTGATCATTTACCGATTAGAGTAAGATGAAGCTTCAGATATTGAACTAATTATTGGACAAAATTTCATTGCCAAAGAATGCCTGCTTCGTCTATCGATAACACACTTCATGTTTCCATTTATTTATCGATTAGTTATTGAAACTGCGTTAGAAAGCCAACAAAGAGTTGATAGCTAAAGCAAATGTTTTATGGTTGATTGGGCCACCTTCATTTAATCTATTATACTCAAATTGATCGATAACTTGCACTGTTATCGAACTTAAATTCGCTAAAATCTTAGAAATTGTATAAAGCAACTTGAAATTCGAGCATTCAAATTACGAGTTGAAGAGTTTGCGTTGGCTTACAACTGCCGGATAGGCCCATTCGGCTAACTTTTACGCACAGCAAGACGAACAACAACAATAACAGCTCGAAAACTTGACAAAACAAGTAAACACATAAAGTTGAGAGACGCGACACGTGACTATGCAGTTTAATAAGCCGGCTGCTGGCCGCGCTGCCCCGCCCCTCGCAATCAAAATGTTATCGATATGGCAGCGCACACACACACACACACACAGGCACACCATCGCAGTAAGCACTACACGTAGCAACTCCAATTATGAGCAGCGGGAGAGGTTGGCGGGCCTTCGGGCTTGATGGCGGCCAGACAATGTCGCAGACGCAGCGCAGACAACGCTAAAAGGCAGCCAAACAAAATGACAACAGCAACAACAGCAACAACAACCAAATAACAATAAACAAACAACAACAAGTGAACAACAAAAGCGAAAGCCCTGAGAAAATTACCGCATACAAAAGTTTGTTCAACTTTGTTGTTCTAGTTGTTTGTTTGTTTGTTTGTTGTTGTTGTTGGATTTTTCGATTTTTCGATTTTTGATTGATGAAATTTCAGCAGAATTTCAAGTGCTGCATTTCCGCCCATAGAACTATGCCTGAACTCACACACATATCTATACATTGTATATATATGTGATATGACAAATGCAACTGTAGCACACCTTGCCTTTGGCCACTTTCTAGCATTATCATTCGCCACCTTATCGACGTTTATCAATGGGCTCTGCGTCTGCGTCTGTGTGAAGAGGTAGCTGTAGAGTCGTTGTCTATTGAGTAGGTGGGGGCTTGAAGCTCTATGCACATTTGGCCCACATTTCATAAATGTCTCAGGCAACAAAGGCGTAAAGTACTCAGATAAAAGATATAGGTGAAGATAGATAGATATATATGTGTTTTATGTGCAGCTATCTCAAAACCGAAAGGAATTTTGTAGTTAGCGAGCTGGGAGAGCTTTGGAATCACCGAACGCCAGATAGGGGCCAGAGAGAGAGAAAGAGAGAAATAGAGAGAGAGGGAGAATGAGAAAGGGAAATAAATCGGGAGAGAAGAGAAAGGCTGAGAGAACCAGAAAAAGAGGTGGAAAGAGAGAGAGAGAGACAGAGGAAGATAAAGATAAAGACAGGCTAAGAGAACAAAAGAAAAAGAAGAAAAGATAGAGAGAGAAATGACAATATAAAGAAAGAGAAGAAGAGAAAGAAAGACAGAGATAATAATATAAAGAGAAATAGAGAGATAGGCAGCGAGAGACAGAGCAAGGGAGAGACAAAGAGAGACGGAGATCAGGGGTGAAAAAAGAGGAATCAGAAGGAGAAAAAAGGTGAAGGAAAAACAGAGAAATATAGATCGAAAGAAGTAGAGAGGGAGAAGAAGTGAGAGAGAGAGAAAGCGATGAAGAAAGAAACAGGAAAAGAGATGTAGAAGAGGAGAGGGAGAGACAGATGCAGAGAGAAAGAAAGAGGAAAAGAGATGCAGATGGAGAGAGAGAGAGAGAGAGAGAGAGAGAGAGACAGAGCTGGACAAAAGGAGACAGGGATAGAGATAGAGAGAGAACGTTTAGCCCCGAAGTTTCTCTAAATTAACAATTTGCGATTGATCGCAGAGTCGAGTCTGGTGCCTGTCTGCTTCGCTTGTTAAGTCAGTCTCAAATTTACATTTAACAAATCTGATCAGAGCAATGCTTGAGCTGTTTGGAGCTCTAGACATATTTGAATGAAAAACGATGAGTCTAGCATACAAAACTGAGACTTGGCAGTGGCAGTTCCAGCAGCTAGATAAGAGCTGACAGACAAAGCGATAGGCGGGTTTTATTTTATAACTATATCATATCTATGTTTCTTTGATGTTTAGACTGCTCCAGAGTGCATCGCAACAGGCAACAACAATCGAAATTGACTCTTGAAATCAATTGCCAGACTGAAAATAGCCAAACAGCTCCCCCTTTGCAGCTGTCTGTCTAGCTGTCCAGCTGTCTGGCTGACTGGCTGCCTGGCTGCTGCAACTTGTTGCAGTCATAAATCGATCAGCAGAAGAAACTATTGAAATAAACATTTCAGATATATTTATGTGGGTCACTGGGAAATCGATTGCACAGCCAAAAGTCTGGCAGGCGAAGCCAAACAGAAAATTGCAAACGAATTCAAGATTTGACTAGAAGCAGCAGTTTGGCAAGGTCTGTTGTGCACAGTTTGAGAGTCAAACATGCAATCGAAAAAGCAATTGCCTCAGAAATATCATAGAACAGAACTGAATTCGATTACCAACAGAGCATAGCTCAGTTGGCTATGCCCGCTCGAGCTAATTGAGGAATTGAAATATGCGAAGAACAAGTGCTTCATCGATTGGGGCATAAATTGCGTAAATGTTTTTTATAGAAGTTCAAGTCATTGAATTCAGTTCCTCAAGAATACAAAAAAAATGCGGCCAACGGGCACTGTGCGTTTATAATCAGCCATAAAAAATAATAGTAATAAAGTAAACAATAAACGAAGCCAGCCAAAGAAAGCTTGTCAAAGACTTTTGCACATTTTGCTTTTGTTTCTTTTTATAATATGATATAATAAGGCCCAGCCAAACGGAATTCATTCATGCCTTGGCCGATTACCTTGGGCATTATCTAAGCACATCAGCTATCTATTTCTATTCTATTTATATATATGCTTGAAGAATTATTTAACTGACTTAACCGTTCTGCAGTTCAAGCTGTAAACTAACTTTTCCCTTGACGAACTAGATCAATCAACTATAGAGAGTTAGTTAAAGTCTGATTAAAGGGCAAAGGTGTTTACATTAGCTGGATCGGCAGGCCATATCTGTACATATTCAGATATATAGTTTTTATATTTATCAAGATATATATATATTCCTCAAATTTAAGTCAAATATATTGTGTACAATATATACATAAATTTGAAGAAGCAAACTACTCAGAAAAATATCGTAAGATGTAGTCACGCAAGTTATTCTGTTTCCTTATCTTTCTGTATCAAACTTTACTAAACTTTCCATAAAAAAAATAAAAATAAAAGAGATCGTACAGAGTCTTACGAGTCTTAGCCTTATCGATGAACATTTACCTTAGCATAGTTCAGTTTCACCTTTCACCATTTAGCAGCAAACTCAACACACTGTTAAGGCATTTAACAGAGGCGTGTCTCAGCTGTGAGCTTTTGCTGTTAAGCTTAACAGCGTGTTGAAAAGCTCCCCAGTGCTTGCAGAACTGTGCAGCTTTGCACTTAGCAGGGAACACAACCAAACTAGAGGGTCAAAGCTTTTGACTTTCTTGTCTAAGAAATTATGATTGAGATTAAGGTTTCTCCTAAATAGTGTTCTATTTTTAAGCAAAAGCGGGAAATAAATTTCAGAATTCATTGAATTTAAAATATATTTTTGAGCTGCTGAATGCTTAAGCTTGTCTAGAAGCTATACTACTAATCGGGAGTACCCAGCTAGAAGGTACCCTAAATTAAGATGCGATGTGGTCTGGTTTAAATAATAAGTAAAGTATAAATACAATTTAAAACATAATTAAATTAAAAAAAAAATATGACAAAAAGCTTCAAATTAATTTTAAAATAAAGTTCAGAAACTTAAAATTCCAGAGGAAAATTTAAGCTATAAAAAGGGAAATTCAAATTAGAACTGAAAAGTATTTTGAATGTTAAATATTCCAAGTTTTAAAATTGAAACAAAAATGTATTAAAAAAATATTATTTAAAATGGTTGCAGTTGAAATTAAATAATATATACATATATATTCATATACTTGAAGCGAAATGTCAATTAATTTGAGATTCTGAACTTGCAGCAAATCTCGAGCTTCGATGACAATGAAAATATGTTCTTCGATGTGGAGGATCAGACGCCATTCACGGGGTCGGACAATTTGCAACCGTATGCGCCTTTGATCGATGACAACGCCGTGGAGGGCAATTGGTTCCATCAGGGCGTTAAGCGCGTGCGTCGCGAGCTGACGCGGCTCTTTGGCAGCGACGATGTCCACCACAGGCAGAAGCGCGCCAAGAAGCCGGCCATGAAGAAGCGACTGACCAAGCGGCAGAACCGATTGATGACCCGCAAACGGGCCTCCGATGATTACGAGAGCGAAATCGGCTCAGGCACCTATGGCGTGGATACCGTTGTATGTGAGTGTCTAAGTGGATCAGTTGAACTCGCGTTGCTATTGCAATTGCTATTTTGATTTGTGATTTGTGATTTTTGTAATTTGTTATCATGAAACGCAGACCGCACACGATTCACCGTCAACGAGCCGTACTCGAACGACTTCAGTGATAAACAGAGCGAGCATTTCCTCAATCTGACCGAGGAGATCGGCCTGGGACTGCGCCATCTCTTCCGGCGCAGCTACGAGAACGACGACGACGAAGTGGATTTGCGCAGCACTCTGTTGCAAGTCGGGTAAGTCCATTATATGCTACATTTATCCCACAGAGTCAAGTAGGGCATGCGGTCCGCTCTGTTCGTCTAGGCGGGCTATATGAGAACGTGAATGACCCTTGGGCATGAAACACATCAAGAGAAGCCTCAATTGCTCAGCTTCAGTTAAACAACTTCTTGTTTTACAAATATGTTCTACTATCGATAATTATCGATATTTGGTTTGATTGAACGAATTATTTAATGAATGCATGCAAATGTCAATCAATGTGATTGACTGATTGATTTACGTTCAGAAATATATCAAAGAGCTATCTCAGTGTAAGTCGAATTGATTGATAATCAAATGATTGAAAATAAACTTTGGATAATCAAAAGTCCTATTTAAATCTATCAGTTGAGGGCTTGATTATAACATGATCAATATTTGATTGATTGGATTGAAGATATAAATTCAAAGCTATTAATTCATTAAGCATGTATTTGTATATACAACTATCTATCTACGATAACTAGAGCTTAGCTCTATTACTTATCAGGAAAATGGTTAGAAGAGGAGATATGTGATTGTCACATTGATTGACTGATTGATTCACAAGAATAATCGATATGAGTCCAAACTAGAGCTAAGCTCATGATCAGTTGAAGTGATTGATTGATCCACAATAAAGATCGAGCTAGAGCTAAACTTTATCATCTAGGGACAGCGAAGTGCTATGAGATTGTCAATTTGATTGACTGATTGATTGATTGATAAGTTAATCTATATTGCAAAGCACTCATTTAATTAATATCTCCAACTGCTGCTTAGACCTATGAACGATAAGCACAAGAGCTATGAGATCATCAATCTGATTGACTGATGTGAGTGCAAGCTCTATTCCTCAGGGTTCTATGAGCAGCAGTAGGGCATGACGAGTGTCAATCTGATTGATTGATTGATCTATATTAATCCAAATCACCTAATTCCCATCTCATCCCATCTGTTGCCTAGGCCTACGAACGATAAGTACAAGAGCTATGTGATTGTCAATCTGGAGATACCCACCGATGTGGTTGACTTTGAGAGTAAGCTGCGCCAGCAGCTGCAGAACTATAACCGCATTGGCAACCAGAGCGCCTCCCTGGACGATGACTTCTATTTCCGTTTAACATTGGGTAAGTTTTCCTTAAGCTCTTCAGCAAGATTCAAGCTTCCCAGTTTCCCTTTCGAACGGATGCTTTGGTGTTGGCAAACGCAAGCGCTCGCTCACACTGTTAAAGCTTTTGAACAAGTAGAGTTGTGAGCTTTTAAGCTTTAATCGAGACTAAAAAGCTTAACAAGTAGCGTACGCATCATTGTAAATAAGTAAATCTATTTAAAGAGTATGTCTAGCTGTTGCTAAAAACAAACAAACCGAAATGCACTCACCCCTCCCTCACTCACACACACTTACACACACACACACACACACACACCTAAACACACACACACAGATAACCAGTGCAGCAATATTCAGGAATTTGATAATGAAGAGTTTACCTGCGAGTCCGGCGAAGTAGAGAGCATCCCCTGTGCGAACATATGCAATCAGCGTGCCGACTGCGACGATAACTCGGATGAGAATGAGGAGATGTGCCTGAGTCGTCGTTATCCCAATCCCTATGCACGCTCAAAAGACGTACAGGCTTCGGCCTACCCGGATGTGGATAATGATGCTGACAATGATGTAGATACAGTTGATGCGGATGCCGATGCCGATGCCGATCAAGAGGACGATTTGGATGGAGATGGCGACGTGGATGCCGATGCCGACCTGGATGAATATCCATGCTTGTCACTGGATCAACCTTTCCAGTGCATCAGCGGTCGCCCGTATCAGATCTTATGCGCAGACATATGCAACGGCTACAACGACTGCGAAGATGGCTCCGATGAGAACCAGGAGATGTGCGATCGCCGCAGTGATCCAGGTGCCTACAACCCAAATGCCATCGACTGTGAGGAGGATTTCCAATGTGAGTCGGGTGACAAGTTGAGCACATCCTGCCACAATGTCTGCAATGGCCGCGCCGATTGCGATGATGGCTCCGACGAGGATCCCAGTCGCTGTGCCCGCCGCAACCCACAGACCGCCAGCAGCGATTCCGGCGATCAACGGAATGATCACTGCACCAAAGACGAGTTCTTCCAGTGCCGCAGTGGCAGCATACCGAATATACCCTGTTACGATGCCTGCAACGGCAAGGCTGACTGTGACGATGGCTCCGATGAGAGCCCCGATGTCTGTCGTCAAAATGTTCAGCCCGAGCTCAGATGCACCGGCGAGGGCGAGAATCGAGTGTGCCAATATGTGCTCCCCAACAAGGGTTCGTTTTCTCCCTCTCTCACACTCTCTCTTTGTCTCTCTCTCTCTCCCCCTCTCACTCTCACTCTCTATATATATTTTTGTTGTCTCCGTTATTGAGCACGCTGTGTATTAGGGCAGGGGTATTCTGCGAATACAATATTTAATCAACAAACTAATACTAACACAGACACACAAATACACACACACACACACACACACACATACACACGGAGAAGCCCTAATCTCATTTGAAAGCATGTAGAAACTAATAAGTAAAAAAGTCACTGTAACTTTGTATTAGTATTAAGTCGTGACTGTCACTGTGATTCATTCGTTCCACTCTTTCACTCACTATCTCCCTCTCTCGCTCTCTCTCTGGTTCCTACTCATGCTTATTCATTTGAATCGTTGGCGATAATTCCAAATGGAGCTAGAACTCTTGATAAGTATTCATCAGGCATTCGATGACATTCTATAAAGCTAAATTGTCTTAGCATAAGTAATAAAGATTAGTTGCAAGATGAGTCTGAACTGTTCTATACTCGCCCACAAAGTGCTGTCCGTTCGTCTGGATAGAGACTTGGTATATAGAATAAAGTTATGCATCTAGGCAATGCTGCTATAAAAGTATATAGCATATAGCCCATATTGGGCGTGGCAACTGAGTTGCAGATCCATCAAATCGGGAATTCTATATAGTATATAGATGTATATACATAGAGTTGATATGGCTTGATCTATACAAATCAGGAAAAACTGTATTTCCCCTTAAAATCGGACATAAATATTTCTTTAAGCTGCTGGGCGAGTATCAAGCAGTCTGCTACGCCCGATTGCAGTGTTAACTTAGGTTGCTCAACTACTGTGGATCATGGGCCAAATAGATACGAAAGACATTGACCATTAGACTCAGCTTCATTTTCATTGAGGTCTGCAGGTAAACGAACATGGAAAGCATGACACGAGCTCGACGCTGCCTTGCAGGACATGTTGTGCGGGCTTGTCCTACCGCAGGACCTGTCCAAGACTTTGAGCTTTAAATGAAATCTCATAGCAAATGAAATTATTTCCATACACTATCATTCGCTTATACTATCGCGCTCTCTCTCTCTCTCTCTCTCTGTGTGTCCCTCTCTTGGTGTCTCTCCCATTCATACTGTGTACGTTTGTCTCTCTCCCTCCCCCTCTCATTAACTCTTACTCGCATATGTCCGTTGGTTTATATTTTATACAACATTTTATTATTTAAAAGACTGCTAACTTTTCTTTTGACGTGCCCTCTATGTATACACACACACGCACACGCCTGCACAACTACACACCCACACACAACATAGATCCTAACGCCCCTGAAACGCCTGAACCAACTGACGAGGAAGATGGCTCCGGCGAACCAGAGTGCCGCGGGGATGCGACTTTCTTCTGTTACCGCTCGAATACGCGCGTCTGTGACGAAATGAAATGCGATTTGAAAAAAGACTGTCCGAATGGCGAAGATGAGGAGGATTGCCCCAAGGGTAATGATCAACAATTATTGAAACAACAATCAACATCTATGCATCTCGCATATCATTTCATTTGAGTATCGAGCTGACGATCTGCGTAGATCAAGTTTCATTTGCTCGAGCAAACAGTTTGGAATCGCTCAAGATCTGATCAGCTCTGAACTGATCTGATCTGAGATCATCATCATCATTGGCTCATTATCATGTTTTGTAAAACTTTGTTTCATCAGCTATTTTCAAATCGATATGTTTGTTTATTTTGTGTCCTTTTCTTTCTTTGCATTCGTTTTTGCTTTGCGATTTGTTGCCTCACTTAGTTTGCACTGACGAAGAATTCAAGTGCGACGATAGCTGTTTGCCGCTGCATATGCGTTGCGATGGCCGAACGCAGTGTATTGATCAGACTGACGAGGCTGGCTGCCCCCCTAAAGATATAGAGCAGCCCAATACCGATCAAGATCAAGATCAAGATCAAGATCAAGATCAAGATCAAGAAAATGAGCAAGAACAAGAGCGAAATCACGATCGTGATCAAAATCCTGAGCAAGATCCCGAACAAGATCGCGAACAAGATCGCGAACAAGATCGCGAGCAAGATCTCACACAAGATCGCGAACAAGAGCGTGAACAAGATCGCGAGCAAGATCGCGAGCAAGATCGTCTGCCCGAACCCGAGACCCAGCCACAGGGTGAGTTTTTGCTATTTTACTTATTTTCCTAATTTCATTCATTTCATTCTTAATTGACTCATCAAATTCTTTTTAGTTTTTCCCAATTAAAATTTTCCATCTCTTTGACTTAGCTCTGAAGTAATTCAATTATAGATTTTGCATTTTTCATTTGCCATTCGATTATAATATTTTGCCCACGATTTATGATTTCTTTTTCCCCTTAACTATATAGTATATATATGTACGGTATATATATACGTGCATATGCTGTTGTGTGATGTCAGAGACGATCGCTGATCGCTGATCGCTGATCTCATTGGCGTGAGCCACGTGTCGCTATGCAAAGAATTTTGCTCAAACAAAAACTTTTGATTAGCGAAGAAACGCAACAAATTCACAAAAGGGAGAAAATATCGAAATGCATTATTTCGTTTGTAATTGGGAAAATATTTAGCATAAACTACATCGGGCGGGGATAATTACAACAAATTTATAGAGCACTTATTCAGTAGTGAGAATTGATTTTTCGTACGTGCCGCTTTGCTGCCAACTGTGTCTAAATTACAGTAAAACGCTAACGGTCTGTGGATATTATGTGGAACATATGGTGAAACCTATCCAAATGGACCAAAATCATAAAAACTTTTTATTTAAGATTGCAGTAGTCGCTCGATCGGTAATTTTCACTAGAATTCCCGAAGGTGAGGCTGTGGAATGCGGAAATGAAACACTGAATGTGGGCAAACTGTAAGATAATAATGTGGGGTGTTCCATTGAGAGTGGTACGCTGTGCTCTATTTGTGCTTGTGTTTCTTTCTTCCACGTGAAACGAGTGGGAATGGAATGAAAACTGGTGACCTGATACCTGTTGATGCTCAACTCGAATGATATCGCGTAAGATAGTATGGCGCAGCTCCACGTGAAACGAATGGTGTTCCATTTCCATGCATTCCCACGGCTGTTGGCTATAATCATATATGCTGCTGGTATTCCACTTGAGTAGAGTGGTGTTCCATTTCCCTATATTCCCTCAGCAGTCGACTTAAATCATATCGACACTGGACAAATTGAAACAAGTGGCAATGGAACAAAGCTGCTGGCCTTAAGTCCACTGATGCTTAATGAAATACTGCAGCTTTCTAATCGGCACATGCATATTATATGCATTAAGTCTTATAAGCTATTGTTTCATACCAGTGTTCCACGATGTAGAGTACTTTTTTTTAGTGGTAATTAAAATGCTTGTCGGCATTATTCTGCTGTTTCTTTGCCAGTGAAACAGTGGAAACGGAACGCTATTGGTCAGATGGGAAACGCTGGTATTTCACTTCCATTGTTTCGATCTTCTTACGCGCTGCTAGATGTTTCATTCCATTAAAGTTAAGCGACTTTTTGCCGTTATGACCCTGACCCGCCTCCAGATAGTCTTCGCCTAAATTGTATAAAACAAAACACTGAAAAGGAACAGCAAAAAATTATGAAAATTCATTTTCCATTCAAGAAAAAAAAGTGAAATTACTATTGTTCCCCAAACGGGGCAACCAGCCCCGCCCACACTCACGCCCACGCTTGGCCAGCAAGCACTCGCCTAATGAAAGAACCCAAGCAGCGCAGAGCCAAAATCCAAATCACAGCCACAGTTGCGCCATCCACCACCACCACCACCCGCACCCCCACTCCAGCGCCAGCGCCACTCCAGCCCCACTCCAGTCCCACTTCAGCCCCACTCACACATGTGGATTACCATATTGCCATGAAATATGCCACAAATGCGAGCAACTGTATGTGCTATGCAAACAACAGCCACTGAGATGCAAAAAGATGTTTTATAGCTGCTGATTTTTGCCTGGCTCATCGGTGGAGCAGGGTGGTGCCGTCGATTCTAGCTGTTTCCCTCTCTCTCTGCATCAAGACATGCAACAAACAACAGCAAAAAAAAACAATTTGCAACAGATTAAAATTACCCCTAAGCGTATTATAAACTTAAATAATCCGCTACACACAACAACAACCACCAGCGCCATTCCCACCCAGCTGCACCACGCACCGCCAAGCCACCCACAAGCTGAAGTGAGCTTTTATTTAGCCAGGCGTCGCAGCTTTTACTACTCGGGGGCGTGTTAAGTGCTGTCAACGAGATTAAATGCAATGTCAGAGGTCACAAAAAAGACTCCACACACACACTCACACACACACACACACGCACAGCGAGTGTCCAAAGTTGTGTCCTTGTAAATTTAATGAATTTTCGACGCTTCACTGGTTCGAGTTCTTTCATTTGGCTTGTGTGAACAAAGTGAATTTTGAGCTAAACACTGAAGCTGGAGCTAGATCAAAGTATAGTTATTTCAGATGCCCAAGACATAATCTTTAATCCTAAGCTAAGCTCTATCTCTACCCATATATAGCTAATAATATATACTATGAGAGCAAACCTTATTGTTCTTCGTGTATTGCTTCGCTAGGAACAGTTCCTAACCGATGTCAGCTCTCTCGTTACTTCGTCGAAACTGGTTCAAGTTTAACTATATGAATCGAAAAGTATTTGATATGAACAAAATTAGCTCAAGTTTCCTTTGTCATTGTCAGATTTCAAGTTGTGCTCATATCGTATGAACATGAATCAGTTTCGCTTTATAGCTTTATAAACTGAGTTCTTCCTATATGAACAGTTTTCCGAGATATTCCATACAATATTTAGCTTTATGTATTTATCTTATATAGTATAGCCTCATATGTAGAAATATATTCCAAGGAGCAGTCAGCCACAACTGAAGCTGTCCCAGTTCTAATACCTTCAAGTCTGAGAATTTGTTCACTTACTTTTCATTTATCGTTTATCGTTTATCGCTTATCGTTTACCAAAAAATCTTAATTTGCAACTTCAAATAGGCCAGACTATCCAACTTATTAGCCAACCTGTAGAGCAAGTCGAAAGAGCACTCAAACTGTGCTAAATATGGTGTTATCTGAGGGTTTTGCATTTCTTGTGTATTTTTATCTAAAATTCTATCAACTTTGTTATTTATAAATATATGCCACGCCCTCAAGTGGGCATAAACAATGAATACAATGAATAAGAGAATGCAAAATCTTCAAATTTCAAGTCTGAGCTTTGCGTTGAACATTGTCAAAACTAATATACTCTACTCACTTTATGAGCGAGTATACAAGAATTGAAATACAGTTATGTTTATATATATATACATATATATATGTATATGCATGTATGCAGCTGTGTAGTTCCGCAATGTCTTGAAATTAATACGCTATTGTATCTATAGATACATTTCTATCTATATAGACAGTCAGCATATATATCTTTATATATATGTATATATAAGTATGCATGTATGCACACACACACGCACAGAGACATATGTGTGATCTAAGTACCCGCATAATTGTTGAAAGAAAACTTCAAGACTGTTGAGAGTGAGGCTGAAGCTTGTTAAGGTCGATTCTGTTTGGAAAAGCGAGCGAGGGGGGGGGGGGGGGGCAGGGGCTAGAGTGGAGGCACTGAAGTTGCAAGCACATTTGTTTTTTATTGTTTTGCGGCTCAGTGTTGTGCAATACGAAACTGTTGCAAGTGTTGCTGTTGTTGTTGCAACTTTAGCTGTTGCAAAGTGCGTCATTTGAATCAATTGTTGTTAATGTTGTTGCCGTTGCTGTTGCTGTTGATAGTGTACTTGAGCGCAGCTAAATTTTAATTATTATGTAAGCACACAGATGCACGCACAACAAAACACACACACACACACAACTCTCATAAAGTTGCCACAAAAAGTTGGCTTTTGATTTGAAGCAGTTGAAAAAAGGGTGCATGTCTGTGTGTGCGTGTGTGGGTGTGCTTGTGAGTTGGCCTCTGCTCAATTTACAGTTATATTTCATATTGTTTTGCTTGTTGTTTGCTGCTGCGGTTGCATTTGGCTTGGCCCTTGATTAAATATTTTGTTTATAATTGCTTGGCATCGATTCTTGTTTTTGGCGCTTGCCACTTGCACTTTTGGCCCACAAAGCGGGCAGTCCACATGCCATCAACCACAGCCCATCCACTTGCTGTTTGCCGCTTGCTGCTTCCCCTCAAGCCTTGCAACACTCTGCAGCAACAGCAGAAGTCAATTAGCAGCCTCGCTCGCTGTGCTGCGTTAAATGGCTGACGATTTGGCTGCTCTACACATACACACACACACACACACACACACACACACATAGAGCCACACACAGTCCGGGGACCGCATATGCAAATTGAATATGCTAGCCAACGCTTTTCTTTTCACACTTCGAGCCAAAATAGCTAAAAAAATGAAAAGATAAAAACCTGCGCAAAAAATTAAGGCAACGAGTGCAAGACAACAACAACAACAACAACGGCAGCAGCAACAACAGCAACAACAATAGCAACAGCAACAATCAGCCACAGCAACAGTAACTGCTGTTAAAATCATAAAAATCATAGCAGCAAACAACGTAAACACGGACAGCAACCCACCCCCGCACCACACACTCACACACACTCACACTCTCAGGGGAGTTATGCATGTCTGATAAGCTTAGCAAATATGAGCGAAATAAAAAAAGACGAGAATCTAAATATTCTTGTATATAAAGCTGAATTTCTTTACATATGTATAATAGTAATACAGGATTGATGTACTGACGTATTGATTGACTGACTACATTTTTAATTGATTGACTAATCAATCATGAATGATTGTTGGACTGATAAATTGACTATTGATCGATCGAAAGACTTACAGATTGATTGATTGAGCGATTGATTGATTGGCTGATTACTGTTTTATTGAAAGACTTACTGATTGATGGCTTCACTAACTGAATCAGGAATTGAGTAACTGATTGATCAATGAATGACTATTGGTTGACAGATAAACAGAATGTTGTATGACTGAAAGACTTACTGATTGATTGACTTATCAATGATTAATGATTGATTGGTTGACTGTCTAACAAACTGACAGTTTCCTGCTTGAGAGACTTATTGATTGATTGATTGA